CCAGATTGGAGAGGGTGCAGGCTGGGCTGAGGGGACCCCCTCCCATGCATGAATTTCGTGTACCAGGACTCTAGTTCAACGATAAAGAAATGGTCCTTTTCCTCAGTCCTTCCAGGCCAGAGGAGCCCCTCAGCATACATGATGAGAGCTGGTGGGGGGAGCAGAAGGAATTTTTGATATTTCTGAGGTCTGTTTGCTCTAAGTTAGTATAAATATAATACTTTATTTTGGGTAATAAAATACATTTGGGGCCCTGCCTGATGTGGCTCAGTTGATTGGGTGTCGTCCTGTGCACTGAAAGATAGCCAGTTCAATTCTCAGTCAGGCACATGACCAGGCTGTGGGCTTGATATTCCCGGCAGGGGGCCTGTAGGAGGCAACGCATTGATGTTTTGCTCTTCCATCAATGTGTCTCTCTCCCTCTCCCTTCCTCTTTCTAAAAGTCAATAAAAATATTTTTTAAGTAATAAAAAATATATATTTGATTATTTTATTTCCTGACTTGAAATCCTCCAGCAGCTTCTGGACTTTAGGGTAAAGTTTCTATTTCATGGTTTAACCCTTCTTGTTCTGGCCCCTTCCTCCCTCTCATCTCATTCTGTCCCTTTGTCTGTCCCATTCCTTTAGCAGACTTCTTACTTTCCCATTCCAGTTCAGCTCATGCTTTCCTCATGCAGAAAAGCCCTCTCATGATATCTATAGGTGCCATTTCGCCTCCTCTCATGTTCACCTAGCGCTGTAGGTGGAAACATTGTGAGACATGCTGAGAGAAAACAAACAAACGAAAGAGACCCAGTCCTCTCCTCCAGGAGCTTACAGTCCATTTGGTGAGACTGAGACTCATGAAGTAATGAAATAAAATTGCCCATTGTCATACCTGCAGGCAAGGAAAAACACACATATGTATAGTCGGGTCTTTGGCATGCCAGGCATTGTAGAACTTTCTCCAGAAAGCCTTTCTGAGGTTTCCTCCCTGAATTCTTCCTACACTCCCCAACCATGGAAGGTTTTTCTCTGCTGTTCAGTACTGATGCCCTGGCCTGCGGTCATGGATTTACTCCTCTGGGGGCCCAGTTCTGTGAGATTCCTGAGGGCAGGGGTGCATACAAGCACTTACTGGGTGGACGCCTGGGTTGATTTCTGGTAACTTCTTTGACTTGCATCCAGAGTCATGTACACGGACCTGAGAAGAGGAGGTCCCCTTGAAGCTGCTGTTCACTGGCATCAAGTCATAATTATCAGTGACTTCCTAGAACTTTAAGGAGCAAACCTTAGACTCCATGCTTGAGTAACTTGGTGATATTTGAGCAATTGCACAAAACACAAAGTTCATCTTTGGGCCTGGGTGAATGCTCTTTCTCCAACAAGTCAAGGGATGTGTAAACGCTCCAGTTCACAAGGTGCACAATACACTAGGGTCTGTTGTGTTCCCAGCACCTGCGCCAGCAAGGATGCCTGGACAGACCTGCTGTGAATTGCGTATGTGGTGTCTGTTTTTAAGGTTTGTTCGTTTGTTTGTTTTTAAGGTCTTGTGGTCTGACTCTTCAGTAACGTCAGTAACCAAATCTTCCTCTGAAGTGACTGAATTTATTTCAAAGGTAAGGTGATTAAGGGCTCATCTAACAATGAGAAGGCTCCCGTTCCCCTGTGGTTGGTTGTACTGCAGAGTGATTTCGGCGGACGGCTTCCTCCAGCCAGCATAGTGAGTGCAGTGCCTGGAAGTCGTGCCTGTCCAGAGGCAGTCCAAGGGCTGTGTCTGACAGGGTGCATGGCAATAAACACATGGTCCTCGGTGCCACAATCTCTACTCCTTCCAGTTGTTGAGAATGAGTTGAGGCAAACAATGCAACTACACAGATGACCAAGAGTGTTGGTTTGGTTGCTCTTCGTGGAGGCTGAGGGAGAGGCATGCGCAGGTTGCTCAGTGGTTGGAGGCTTTGTCTAGTCCCACCTTTACCTGTTTTACACATTGGGTTTTCCTGTTTATTTTAAAGTTGTTGCAACAAATATCACTTGAACAAAAGGTTCCACTACTAAGTAAACACCTCTTTACATGTGTACATGCATACCTACCTACCTACATACCCTACTTGTATTTGAAGTGTCTCCAAAGTCTGATATTTTCATTATAAAATCAAGGATATAATTCTATAGGAGGAAATCCCGTTGGTGCATCCTACTTAAAAAGCGTGGACAGGAGGCTGTTTGATTCTTGCATGTCCTTTTGGCCAGTCAGGCACAGAGAAACACCACAGTGCCAAGCTCTCTAGCATTACTGATCCTCCCTGGAGTTCACTTTCCCTCTATAACATTCAGAACACTGCATGGCCTCTCCTTTGTGCCTAGCTCTCATTTGTTTAAAAAAAAAAAAAAGCAAAACAAAACAGTTTCTCTGGATTCCCTGATGCTGGTGGGAACTGTGACTCTGCTTGCATTGGTCTTTTGTCTGGGTGTTTACAGTGGCTCATATTCTTGGATATATGGTTTGCTGTCTTTCATTAATTTTGGAAAATTCTTGTCCATTATTTCTTCAGATATTTCTTCTGCCCGCTCACTTGCACTCTCCTGGACTCTGTTACATGTACTTGGACCTTTGATGTTGCTCTTGTCTTTCTTAGTCTCTGCACTGTTTCAGTTTGGGTAATTTCTATTGCCCTCTGTCTTCCAGTTTATTGACGTTACTCCTCAGCTCTGCCCAGGCTGCTAACAAACCTGTTGAATCTTCATGTCTGATACCATAGTTTACTTGTTGTTGTTTTATTTATTTCTATTTTGTTTTTTGCTTTTTCCCCCCCTAGCCTTTTCATTTGACATGTCTTTTAATCAACTTTCCATTTCTCTGCTGAAATTTCCCAGTTACTCATGTTTTTTTAAAAATATTTTTATTGATTTTGGAAAGGAAAGAGAGGGAGAGAGGCAGAAACATCAATGATGAGAGAGAACCATTGATTGACTGCTTCCTGCATGCCCCACAACGGGGATCAAGCCTGCAACCTGGTCATGTGCCCTTGATTGTGAATTGAACCATGACCTCCTGATTCATAGGTCGACGCTCAACCACTGAGCCATGCTAGCTAGGCTTTGCATGCACTTTTTTTTAAACTAAATGTTTTATTATGTTAATATAGTTATTTTAAAGCCCCTGTCTGATAGTTCCAGCATTTGAGTTGGTTTTGAGTCTGGTTCTGATAATTACCTTGATAAGTTTTTTTTTAATTAAATCTTTATTGTTCAGATTATTACAGTTGTTCCTCTTCCCCCCCCTCATAACTCCCCTCCACCCAGTTCCCATCCCACCCTCCTCCCTCACTCCCCACCCACTGTCCTCATCCATAGGTGCACGATTGTTGTCCAGTCTCTTCCCGCATCCCCCTCACCCCTGTCCCCCAAAGAATAGTCAGTCCACTCCCTTTCTATGCCCCTGATTCTATTATAATCACCAGTTTATTCTGTTCATCCGATTATTTATTCACTTGATTTTTAGATTCACTTGTTGATAGATATGTATTTGTTGTCACTTTGTTGTTCATATTTTTTATCTTTTCCTTTTTCTTCTTCTTCCCCTTCTTAAACAATACCCTTCAACATTTCATATAATACTGTTTTGGTGGTGATGAACTCTAGCTTTTTCTTATCTGTGAAGCTCTTTATCTGACTTTCAATACTAAATTATAGCTTTCCTGGGTAAAGTAATCTTGGTTGTAGGTCCTTGCTATTAATCACTTTGAATATTTCTTGCCACTCTCTTATGGCCTGCAAAGTTTCTGTTGAGAAATCAGCTGACAATTGTATGGGTGCTCCCTTGTATATAACTAACTGCTTTTCTCTTGCTGCTTTTAATATTCTCTCTTTGTCTTTAGCCCTTGGCATTTTAATTATGATGTGTCTTGGTGTGGGCCTAGTTG